ATTAAGAGCAGCATAAAGTCCAGATCTCAAGAAGTAATTGTCCCGTTCTGCTCAGCCTTGGTTGGGCCCTATTTGGAACACTGTGTCTGCTTCTGCCACCTCAGTCCCACCTAAAAAGGACCTTGATAAATTTACAAAGCAGAGAGAGTTCAGAAGAGGGCTACTACATGATGGATGGCTAAACAAACTGGGTATGTCTAGCCTGCAGAAGAGAAGACTGAAGGAAGACATAATAGGACTCATAGAAGTACTAGAAGTTGGTTGTACGTTCTTGCCTGTGAGCAAGTCTGAGCTGAAATTTCTCATAAGAACTTTCATGCAGATTTGTTGATTTGTTTTCTTCTTTCAGCTGCTTTTTAATGTGTTAGACAAGTCTGGTCGTGCCCTAGAGCAGTGTTTCTCAACCTTGGCCACTTGAAGATGTATGGGGCTAGCTGGGGAATTCTGGGAGTTGAAGTCCACACATCTTCAAGTGGCCAAGTTTGAGAAACACTGCCCTAGAGAATCTTTGGGAAAATGGTTGCTACTATCTTTCCAGCCCTGTGTTTAGGATGCAATTTTGATATTTTTCATCTGTCTATCCATCCAGTTGTACGCCACCTTTCAAAACTGAGTTTTTCCTGGTGGTTTAGAATGCATTACAGTCACAGAATAAAAATCTGGAAAACTAAAACTATATTTAAAGAAATACTGTCTTAAAAGCATAATGGTGGAGAGATCCCCAGCATTTTTAGCAAAATGACTCCCTCCCCTTTTATCCTCTACAAATACCGAAGAGAATTTTGAAACTCCAAGCTGTGGGCTGACTTGGAGGCCTCAAGGGGCAGAGGAATGAGTTGAAATCTGTACACAGAGCAAGCAAACCATTTAAAAAAAAATCCTGACACATAGCATTTACCTTTGCCCCCTTAAAAGAAGAATTACTGGCTTATCCATTGAAATGTATCTAACCATGTACATTATGTGTAATTCACCCTCCCAATGGTCGTGGTCTATGTTAGCAACAACATTCCTGATTTAAAATAACAAATAATCCAGTTATAAATATATTCCCTTGCTCAGATGAATGACTAATAGTAAGGCTTTCCATCTTTTCTACCCTGGTTGAACACCTTTGGACTTTGGAAAGCAGATCATAGCTACTCTTACCTAATGTCAGTTTTGCGGAACAGCTTCCCATTTACAAAATAATGTTGAAGTCATGGCCAGTCACTAAGCACCAGTATATTCAGAAGTTCCCTGTTTATCTTGGATTTTCTTCCTTTTCTGGGGTACTTCCAAAACATTATCTTGGGCTACAATCACTTACTATATTTGTTTTGGGATCTCTTCTTGAAAAATAAAATTGATGTTCAGAGATGACACTTCACTTGGCAGGTTTTTAGTCTTAAAATTAGTTTTTGGTAATGTAGAAAAGTTAGATGGGTGCCAAGTGGTCTATTGATGCCTGTGTGTGTCATGGCAGACTGTAGTTCAAATTTTCCAGTAATTTGTCTTAAGTCAGTCAAATTAAGATTCTTTCAGAGAGAAAAGCTCGTAATTAACTTGAGTTTCATTGTATACAGTAGATGAAGCAAACATTTGACTACCAATAAATGTTCCATCAATAAAATGACCAAGGATCTTTAATTTACTTAAAGTAGGAATCTGGCCAAAGTTGCTTTTTGCAAAGATATATGAATAGATAGGATGTGGTAGTTAATACAGTTTTTAAACATCGCAGAGTTAATGAAGAGATAATAGGCAAAACTTTCCAGATTGATAATGGAATGGGCCCCTATTAACTATTGAGAGATAAATTATAGTATGGAAAGTAATGCATATTTGTTATTATTATATTATAATTCAGGTTACTAATAAATCTTTTGATTTCTATATAGTTTTTAAAAGATTTCCCCCCAAAATATTGATATGCAGTTTATTTAATTTTAATTTTAGTATGTGCTTTATTTAATGAGGATACTGAAAAAAATCATTTGTGGAAAGAGGCTAAAAAGAAAATCTGTTCCAAGACAGGAAAAAACCAAATATGACTGAAAAAAGGTCACAATTAATAATTCTGATGTGAACCTGTGAATATGTTATTGTTGGTGGCCTTACTGATAATGATGATAGTGATAATGGTGATGATGATGATGAAGAAGAAGATATGGAAAGCATGAAGATGTAACGGAGATGATGGAGGAAATGGGATTGTCCAGCTGAGCTCTAGAAGAACATGGGTGCAATGGCATTCATACCAGTGGCCCACAGTTGTAGAGCTACTATGTTTTTCATCTCCATGAGTTTTAGATGTGAAGCTGGCCCAAATGCACAAACTGGCCACGTTTATAGATGCTGGTGAAAAACAAACTCACACTCCCCATACTGCCTCCCATTTTTAATTGGACTCACTCTAAAGAGACTGTATACTTATATAGCATAGGATTCCTTCCAGGAGATGGGAAGCTTGATAAACTAAGATTTCCCTTCATATAAAGAAAGAATATATGAGTTATTCTTTAAGATGCCCAAAGTTCAGTGACTATTCCTCTAAAATTATATGAATGTAGTTGCATCCATAGCTAAATACACCTAGTCTATCCCCTTCAGACTATACTACTAAAGACACACAGTCAAAAGTGGAGCTAACGTGCTGAGATGCTAGGAGTGGGACTTACATGCACATACCACCACTGCAAACTGGGTTTGCTCAGGGGTTCCTGTTGAACTAGAGCTCAGCCAATTACCCCCACATCCTTCATAGGATTTTAGCCTTTTCCATATAACAACTAAATAGTGCTCATATCTTGATTCGACTTGTATTCTTTCTTTCACATTTCACATTCCATATTCCATCTTCCTGGTTTGAGTCTTTACATCTTTCCCTTCCCAATTCATGAGTCCATGTTTTCTGGGGATTGCTCTGCCAATGGAAAAAAGCAAGGGAAAAGTAAAAGAAACTAACTTAAAAAGTCAGAAATAATACTCCATACAACAGATTAGATTACTTCACTGACCAAATTGTGTTTTTATTGAAATACATCCATAGAAACTTGCTAACAGGACTGGTTAACCTTTATATTATTGCCAGCAGCTCCCGGTTGCTATTTGTCTCATAGCAAAAGTATTCTGGTCTCTTACATGGGGCAAAAAAAAAAAAAAGGAAGGGGGCTAATATAGATAGATAAAGTAAGTAGCATTTACAGAAGAGGTAAACTCAGAGATACATTACTAAATAAACTGGGATGTACTGCTGAGATATTAGAGCGAATAAAAGTGTCCATGATGTCTTTTGTTTGGTAGCACTCATGTTGAAGTTAAACGTGGCCATCTGTGGTGGCCATCCATGATGGCCATCTGTGGTGGCCATCCATGGTGGCCATCCATGTACCAAATTTGGTGGCCATCTATGTACATGAAGCCAGAAGAGAGAAAATAAGATACACTGTTATTTTACTTCCTAATGATTATACTTCTATCCCACTTCTCCTTTGGGAGCTGAAGAGCATCTTTCTTCATTTCATCCTCGTAACAACAGTCTTGTGAAATAGGTTGAACTGAGAGCTCCATGAGCATGTGGGACTTGAACATGGTCTCCCTGGCCTCAGTCTGACACTTATCCACTACAGCACACTGGTTCCTAGACACATTTCTCTGGCACGTATTATACTATGCTAGCCATTTTTCTTACAGTATCCTCACAAACAAGATGCTCCTCCTCATTGCCACGCTGCTCTAGCACCTCTATAAGACCACCAGGAGCTATAGGTCTCCATTTCCTGTATTATTTACCTGCACTCTTTCCCAACCCCAACCCCCCTCCAAGGGCAATTGACCTTGATCAGCTAAGCAGGATTGAACCTGGAGTCCCGGACAATACTTGAGGGGAGACTGCTAGGAAGTATCTGGCCTGTAGGTAGGATGGAAAGTTGCAAAACCCTTCTGGGAGAAGGCAATCTGGCAACCTCCCTTTTACTGTTGAAGAGTGAGCTGAGCTCAGCCAGAGTGGGATATATTTACTTATTCTTCCCCAAAGACCTCAACTCACTTGACTGTGTGGCATTCACAGGAAGCGTAGCCAGGAAATCACAGAGTGGGGTAGGGGATAGTTGTTTGAGTTGGGGTGCTCCTGTGCTGATGTGAAAGAAGTTCTGCTCTATGGCATCATACACCGGCCACTGTACCTCATCTGAGTTCGACCTCGTTGGATTCCTAAAAAGCAATTAAGAAATTATACAAACAATCCCTTGCCTGTTTATAGTTAGAATTACAGGCACGACTGTTTTCAAATCTCAAGGGCCTGTCTTTCTTTCTTTCTTTCTTTCTTTCTTTCTTTCTTTCTTTCTTTCTTTCTTTCTTTCTTTCTTTCTTTCTTTCTTTCTTTCTTCTCTCTCTCTCTCTCTCTCTCTCAAGATGGAGTCCACAGAGTTGGTACTTTTATTGCTAAGAATCATCAGGTATGAGCACCCTAGTTCATAGTTGCCTTGTTCACCATGGCCTTTACTCCCATTTTTCCTGATAATTCCTCCAAATATTAGTACAATGGATTGCTAGCTTTGCCCATCGCAGGACATTAGGAAACCAGCCTGCCAAGGTTTGGGGACAATTCCAAACTGAGATGGCCAGAAAGTACCATCAAGTGCATTTCCTGATCGATCGGTGAGCATTGTCTCCCACTGCTAGACTCCCATGTTCTTAGGGCTGACTACCACTGCTATCAGAACCACAGCAACATGTTGCTATCATTTTGACTTTTCACAATACAACTGACACAATAGTTATGGGAAATATAAATAGTTGCAAGACTCAGCTGCTGGGTGCTGCCTGGAAAGCTACAGTGGGAAAAATACTAATGGCACTCCATGGAAAATATCAGCAATAGACAGCTGCTGAGGAAAACTGTCTCTAACTCTGACCCCGTAAAACTATCTTTAGATCGATGGCTATGCTACTAAATGGGGCCCTTGGCCCCAGACTTTCAATTATTTGATGCAATTGTATAGTTCATACTATCTGGAAAATGAGAAAGTAGTGAGAGGTGAACCCCCGTACCATTAAGTTTAATCAGATTCATGACTGTCCAAAATCAAGAGTATCATTCATGAAATGGACAAGCAAAGACTGAGTTTTATGGGATGGGACGGTCAATTCCTTACCCAGTTCTGGCAAACTGTGCCCAGAATCTCATCATCTGACGGCTCAATGCTTCCTCAGCCTCTGTGATGGATCGGTTTGTTTGTAGAGCTGATGCCATGGTTCCAAACACGTAAGGTATCTCTGCTCCATGAGGCGTCCCTACCCATTCAGGCCATACAGAGTCAGAGGAGTGGTGACTGAAGGAGTAAACATACACAGGCTTCCCAGCTTTTCTGATCTTCGCAGCTAATTCAGCCAAGGGACACACAAAGAAATAATCTCGAAAATACTGAGAAAATGCCAAACGGTATCGCTCTGGCCCGTGACTAGCTTCACTGAATTTCAGGGCAACAGACTCTGCAACATCTTTTTTAGTTCCTCTTTGCATAGTTCCCATCACACCTTGGAGAAGCTGCTCCCAGGTTAATATCCCACCATTTGTTTTTGTACTTGAATACATAAGCAATGTAAAACTGGACCCTTCATCATCTGTGATACCAGTAAGAATTGGTTTTCCCTGAAGAATTGCAGTCTCCAGCAGCTTTGGGAGTTCATCTGGGAGGAAATCACCATCTGTGGTCAATGAGTTGATCATGGTCAGAGGAAGAAAGTTCTCATGCCCAATGTCTATCTTCTCTAGGCAGCTCACCACTTCACTGTGATTATCTTTAGCACATCCCACTTCCTTGCTGACCATTATTGCATCTACACGGGCTTCTTGAGGGCTCTTCCAGGGCCAAATGGCATTGGGAACGCCACTCTGAAGCACAGCACGGGCAAAAAGGGGCTGGCTCAGAGGGGAAAGGAGATGGCAACCCACCAAGGCTGCTCCTGCACTTTGCCCAACAAGAGTCAACTGGGCTGGATCACCACCAAAGACATCTATGTTCTCCTTCAGCCACTTCAGAGCCAAATGTTGATCCCATAAGCCCATGTTTCCTGGGGCATATGGTGGCAAATACAAAAAACCTAGAGCCCCCAGGCGATAATTCATGGAAGCCACTATGATATTCTCTGTAGCAGAGAAGATTGCTCCGTTGTAGATATCTAGTGAGGCTGTGCCAGTGATAAAGCCCATACCTTGGAACCATACAAGGACAGGCACTGGTGTTGTGGGTTGTGGGTGGGGCACCCAGATGTTGAGAAAGAGACAGTCCTCTGAAAGAAGTGTATTGGCAACCCATATGTCTTTATCAGGAAGGCCAGAAACGTAGGTTTGGGGACAAGAATTGCGAAAGCTGGTGGTCTCCAATACCTCACTCCATGGCTGATGTGGCACAGGCTTTTGGAAACGGAGTTTCTTCACTGGGGGTTCCGCATAGGGGATGCCAAGATAGGCAGTCACAGGACCAGATCCAGTGAAGACTTTTTTGCCTTTAATAGGGCCGCTGCTGGTCACTACTGGTGTGTCATTTTCAGAACTACATTTGCAAATCAGTGAGAAGAAGAAGAAGAGGCCCAAACAAGAACAGGAGAAATGAAGCATAGTAGCTATAGCTGAAAGAGTCAGAGACACAAAACAATTGAATGGATATAATTACTATATAATGCAACCTAGTTTGAATATTGAGCAT